TCTGGCGGCCATGTTTGTCTTGGGAGCTATTGAAAACCAAACTGAATTCCCTAGTTTTGGTTTCAATTCTCTAAGTATATTGCATACTTGGGCTTTTACTTTGTTCATCGTACTAGACATTTTGTTTACTGGTACTAATGTGTAAGGCCCTGCTTCGATATGTTCTAAGGCTTTTTTGTCATAGTCGTCTGTATTAAGAATTACAGTGATATTGCCTTTGTCAGCTTTAGTTATAACAATAGATTTGTCTGATCTTAATGTTTGTAATGCATGACGTTCGGCCTTCGACAAATTTGAAATGCCCCGCTTTTGATTCGATAGTATACATCCAACCTTCTGACGTAATTCATTAGCTTCATCATCAGTTAAAAGATTTAATGTAGGTTCCATGATGGGAGCTAATTCTATCGCTATCAGTGGTTTTCGAGTTATGTTAAAGTTTAGTCCTTTTTCAAGTAGTGCTGTTTCATGTACATTGAGTTCTCTATCTGATAAGTTGCATACTGTTCTTGTGTTTGTCTGTAAGTTTGAAAAACCGAAAGCAGCAAATAAGTCAAATGTACAGACAAACACAAGAACAGTATGCAACTTATCAGATAGAGAACTCAATGTACATGAAACAGCACTACTTGAAAAAGGACTAAACTTTAACATAACTCGAAAACCACTGACAGCGATAGAATTAGCTCCCATCATGGAACCTATATTAAATCTTTTAACTGATGATGAAGCTAATGAATTACGTCAGAAGGTTGGATGTATCCTATCGAATCAAAAGCAGGGCATTTCAAATTTGTCGAAGGCCGAACGTCATGCATTAAAAACATTAAGATCAGATAAATCTATTGTTATAACTAAAGCTGACAAAGGCAATATCACTGTAATTCTTAATACAGACGACTATGACAAAAAAGCCTTAGAACATATCGAAGCAGGGCCTTACACATTAGTACCAGTAAACAAAATGTCTAGTACGATGAACAAAGTAAAAGCCCAAGTATGCAATATACTTAGAGAATTGAAACCAAAACTAGGGAATTCAGTTTGGTTTTCAATAGCTCCCAAGACAAACACGGCCGCCAGATTTTATGGAAGGCCGAAAATACATAAAGTAGATGTTCCTTTAAGACCAATAATTGATTTTACCAATTCAGTAACATATACTTTATCAAAATACATATCACGAATACTGAAACCACTTCAATACAATATTCCTTCGAACATCAAAAATATTGAGGAATTTAAAAGGAAAGTAATGGACATAATTATTGAAGAAGACGAAATTATGGCAAGTTTTGATGTGGTTTCTTTATTTACTAGTATTCCTATTTGTGATTCACTTGATATTATGAAATATGAACTTGAAAACAATCAAGAAGTATTAACTAAATCTTTATTATCAATAGATGAAGTTATAAAATGTTTAAAACTTTGTTTGGAATCTACATATTTTACCTTTAAAGACAAACTATACTGTCAAACAAATGGAGTTGCAATGGGCTCACCAGCATCTCCAATTGTAGCTAACCTATATATGAAAGCCCTAGAAAAGAAAGCATTGACAAGTTTTAGTTGTCATCCTAGAATATGGTACAGATATGTAGACGACACATTTATCATCATAAAGAAAGCTGAAAAAGAAAACTTTCTAACAGAAATCAACTTAATCTCAGAATATATTGAATTTACTAATGAAATAGAATCGGCTGAGGGAACTCTAAACTTTCTTGATTGTCTTGTAAAAAGACAAACTGACGAGAAACTAAAGTTTACCATATACAGAAAGCCGACACATTCCAACAAGTATTTGAATTTTCAATCAGATCATCCAATAGGAATGAAAGTTTCAGTAGCTTTAAATCTCGTTAACAGAGCTAGAAACATTATAACAGATAATGACGATATGGAGAACGAGATATCCAACATAAAACAGGTTTTGATTGGAAATGGTTATCCTGAAAAGCTACTTGATAATATTATCAATAGAAAGGAGCATAAGGGAAAACAAAAATTGAAAAATCCTGGCTATCCACGATAGCCATCCCATACCGAAAGGACACAGCTGAACAACTTCAAAGACTGTTTGCCTCATATAATATTAAAGTCTATGTCAAACCTTCTAATTCTCTAGAGAAGGCGTTGGTACATGTCAAAGATATAGTTCCCAGAATGTCACAAAGTAATTGTGTCTACAAGATAAAGTGTTCAGAATGTGATGCATGCTATATAGGGGAGAGCAGTAGGCAGGTGAAGGTCAGAGTGAATGAACATAGACTATGCACGAAACGTCCACCTAGAAATGAAGTAGAACTAAAAAGTCTAGAAAAAAGATCGGCTATAGCAATGCATGCTATAGACAGCGGACATAAGATTGATTTCGACAATGTCGAAATTCTTGGAAGAGGATTTCATTCACATAAAGAAAGATTGACTTCTGAAGCCTTGCACATCTTAACCACATCGAATGCAGTGAATAGGAAAGATGGGATAGACTTATCACCTATATGGCAAACTCTTATGAAGCAAGACAGATGAAAAAATCAATAAACACTCTATGAGCCTCCATGACCTTTTAAAACATATAGGATCATGTTTATCATATATGAATTCACGTATTTTCCATATGACAAATAACATACATACACCCACACACACACTCATACAAAACTAATCTATACAAATTAACTACACAAGAGTGAACACAACAACAATTTGACATTAGTCATTACAAATATATGTGATGACTGCTTACATATTTCTATTGGTAAAAATGTCCATAGACAAATGACCTTCAAATAAACTGACTTTAATGTATGTTAAATTTTTGACTATATATTTAGATGATTAATAAAAATCCGAATAAATCTGCTGAAGAAGCTGTGGCTTACACAGCGAAACGTTCAAGAAAATCTTGTTTTGATTTTCTTAACACGCTGGGATTAATTTAAATAATTTATAATGAAATAATTTGAATTGGCGCTCAAATTTTTCAAGGAAGTTCGTAACACCTACGGCCTGGAAACCTATAATCTTATTAAAGAATATTTGGCATATGAACTGATATCAAGATTTTAAAAAATGTCCAGCGTTGTCCAAAAAATTAGAAGTACGATTACGATAAGAATAAAGAAGTGAAGTGAAGTGGAATGAATTCAAGTGGTAAAATAAAATAAAGTAAAAAACTAGAAAGAATATTACTGTGATCAAGGTAAAGAAAGGGGTTTGACAAAACGTTTTTGAACACATAATTTAGGTTTCTGTTCATGTATAGCTAAAGCTTCGGCTATGCATAAGTGAAGAAAACGTAAACTTTTGGAGCGATTCGATTTTGCCATGTAGATAACCTCGAAGGATGAATCACGTGGGCACTGAATGACCAGACTCTAACAGGTGATCACAAATAGACGACTTCGCAGTTCTACGTTCGCCTTTCATTAACCAAACCGGATAGTGTTCAGCTACACGTTTTCGGAGAGTACGCTTACAACGTCCAATATAATCAGCTCCACAGGAGCAGGTAAAAGAGTAAATGCACATAGATGTGGACATAAGCGGTAATCTATCCTTGACGCATTGTCTAATCATATTTCGGCCGGTAAAAACTAGTTGCAAGTCAGCTGCATGAAAAGAGCGTTTAATACATTTAGATAAACGATTTTTAATCAATTCAGAAATGGTGTCACCTTTGAATGCCAACGACTCATAAACAGTTTTTTCTTTGGCACTGTGATTTGTCTAGGGGCGGATTCTTTCTTGATATTACGTTCAGTTCAATAAACCTTGTAGGATATCATCATTGTTAAGGAGATTTGATCGAAGGTTATCTAGTTCTCTACCGATTGTCCCTACAGAGCGGATTTTACGAATTCTGGAGCGTAAGGAATGAATAAGATTTCTCTTTCTTCCCAAAGGTACCCAACTGTTGAAGTTAGTGTACTGCCCTGTGAATGTTGGCTTTCGGTAAATCGACCTTAACAGCGTTCCATTCTCTCTTCTATCTAGCTTAACGTCAAGGAAGTGAAACGAGGAATTCGACTCTTCTTCGACGGTGAAAAGCAAAGTTGGGTGAGAACCATTGAATATTCCAAGAAGTTCGGCAGTTGAAGAGTTTTCCTCACAGACAATGAAGGTATCATCTATATATCTTTTATACATAAACACACTCTCGATGGTTTCCTTTAGTGGGCCGTTCTCTAAGCTTGCCATGAAGACATCGGCTAAGAGCAGTCCTAAAGGAGACCCCATGGCGACTCCGTCCCTTTGATTGTAGATGACTTCATTAAATCTAAATTGCACATTCAGTGTGCATCTCAATAATAGTTGTTTCAGATATTCAGTTGGTAAGCCGATGTTCATGCTATTTAAATCAATATACTCGCATAGATAGCAGATAGTGTCGTCTACTAGTGGTACATTTGTGAACAATGAACAAACATCTAACGAAATCATATGCTTACCGGCCACATTAATTTCATCAACTCAACTGACAAAGTCAAAAGTGTCGGAAAGACTATGTTTACATAGATTTAATCTAACTGGTTCCAGAATTTCCACAAGCCATTTAGCGATAGAGTGATACGGCGAGTTCAGCATATCCAATACAGGTCAGGTCGCAGAGGGACATCATCTTTGTGCACCTTTGGAAGACCAAATAAACGAGGGATAGATAGTTGAACCAGATAGATGGTTTAAGCTGTTCATACATATATGGAGTAATAATGCATTCATTCTTGCTTCAATTTCGTCAAAGTTTTTGATAATTCCTTCTCAATATTCTCAATAGTCTTGTCATTTTGGTCAGGTGATTTTTGACATTTTTCTATAATAATAATAATAATAATAATAATTTACTTTATTCCAAAAACAGTACTTATAATACAGAATGGAATTCTCAGCATTTGTCACAATATTGCATCTGATTTACTCAAAGTGTATATAAAATTAAAAATTAAAACAAAAATTAATTGGAGGAATTTGTCCACATTTACGACATAATTATTAGATATAATAATAATAAATACTAATAACAGTGAGTTTGTTTCAAACGGTATTGTCGATTCAGTTTGGAAACTTTAGCATGTTATGGATAATTGGGTCTAATGTTCTGTTGATATGGTATAGTGAGGTGAAATACAAAGTTAACAGTCATAATACAGCTTAAAATTATGTCCACACTTATGAAAAATAAAATAAACAAAACGAAAAAATTGAGAGGATTATAAATATAAGAAATACAATAACAATAAAGTATGATGCTTTAAGGTTGAAGGAAATGGTCTATTTAGTGGTGCTAAGAAGGTTAGTTAGTTCATTTCTGACACTATTTTCATCACATAAAGTACGTGCTAAATATGGTATAGTGGAATTTTTATACTTAGACGTACGTGCATAAAGTCTTCTGAAAAGACTTCTTGTTTTACCTGAGGAGACACAAGGTTGGAGCTGCTGGTAGAGTGGGTGCTCAGAGTCTGACAAAATTCCTCTAGCGAATCTGTTGCATGACATCAAATGCCTATCGGTGACAATGCCAACGATATGGCCCAATGGGATACCACTCATCCTACTGACAGTCTTCAGAGTTCTACGAAGTATGACATAGTCCTTTTTTAGCAATCCAGGAAAGAATAATGGTGAACAGTAAAGAAGAATAGGTAAAATACACGAGTTGATAAACTGTAAGAGGAGTGGTTGAGTTATGCCCAAGTGCCTTAACTTTTTAATGTAAAAAGTCAAACGAAATATTCTCTTAGAAATCGCTAAGACATGAGAAGACCAAGATAGGTCAGAAGAGAGAACTAATCCAAGATACTTAACTTCAGACTTGCTTTCTATATCAGTATCATCGATTTTGCAAGGGTCATAGGAACCAACGGCTTCATTTAACTTTCGTTTACATCGGAAACTGAAATTAACAGTCTGACATTTGGAAGGATTAAGTTTAAGGCCGTTAGACGAAGACCATTTGCTAATTTCTGATAGAAAGTTGTTAATCTTAATACAGTCAAGTTGAGAGTTAACAGACATTGAAATAGTTAGATCATCGGCATACTTAACAAAGTTCATTTCATCGGAGTGAGGCAAGTCATGCAAGAAGAAAGAAAACAGAAAAGGAGAAAGGACAGCGCCTTGAGGGACACCAGCCTCAGTAAGCAATGAAGTGGACGACTTTCCCTGACATACAGTGTATTGCTTTCTTTCTGAGAAATAAGAATGGAGCCATTTGACAACCCAACAGTCAGTTTGAGTTTCAGCAAGCTTGTTTAGTAAAATGTCCCTAGGTACTGAGTCGAAAGCAGATGTATAATCTAGAAAGGTGCAGCGAACAAATTTAGCCCCCTTGTCTAAGCTGGAGACAATGTTATGATACAGGACTGCAGCTGCGTCCAAAGTACTTCTACTATGTTTGTAGGCGAATTGTTTGGGATCGTTAAAGGCTTTAAGTGAAGGTTGAAGATTAAGTAAGAGCAACTTTTCCATAGCTTTTAGAAAAGGGGAAGTAATAGCAATGGGTCTGAATTTAAAACATGTCGCAGTAGACGACTTAGGAATAGGTACAATTTTAATGTCCTTCCAAGCGGCTGGCACGACATTTTTGGAAAAAGAATCATTAAATATGTCCATGAGAGGATAACACAGGATATCTGCACAATTTTTAAGAATAACACTAGGCAAACCATCTGAACCCAGGCTACAAGAAGGGTTCAGAGACTGGAGACATTTTAGAACGTCATTTGTAGTAAATCCAGGGAAGCAGGTTTCATTAATACTTGTAACACTAGAAAGTTTGGCATTCGTGGGAGAATGTATGAAGGACTTGTTTAGTTTGGAAACATCAAGGGGAAAAGGAATACTGTTCATCTGCTTACCACCAGTAATTTCTTTGAAAAGTTTCCATATGTTAGACGCATTTTTACAGGATATGAACTTTTGGTTGTAAATTGAATTCAATCTGTGCATTTCGGACTTTATTAGGATGTTAATTCTTTTCAAACCAGCATTATCCTTCATTTTATATAATTTTTCTTTCTGTCTGCGAAGCTTTTTAAGTTGAGGAGAGGAGAAACGGTCAAATCTGATGAAGAGCGTTTCTCTGGGACAACAGGTGTCAAGACAAAATTTGAGATAACTTGTAATATTAGAGATTGTGTCATCAAGAGAGTCTTCTTTAAACAGGTCCCACCTTGTATCTTTGAGCATGCTTCTGAGGTTCTGAACATTCTCCATAGAGTAACATCCATGTACAGTTTTCTTGGAAAGGTGTGAAAAAGTTCTCTTGTGTAATTTTCCATAAATTTTAGGTAAAACCCGTACAATACAATGATCTGAGTTAAACAGTGGAGCTCTTTTACGAGCTTCGTATATTCCGGAGTCATTTATAAATACAAGATCAAGGGAATTATCCAGTCTGGTGGGAAAGTTAACAACATTTTCATGACCTATCACTGTGAGAAAGCTGCAGTCACATGAATTAAAATCACCTGTCACTATGGACAGGGAGTTACCAAAAGAGGCGGCAGCGAAAATAGTGAATTCATCAGCAAGCATAGATAATTCTGAAGTGCTACAACAAGGTCTTCATCACTAAGGATGGTACATAATTTATTGACATAGTCATCACGATTAAGAATAACAATACCTGATCCTTTGTCTGGATGAATCAGTATTGTGTTTTTGTTGTTCAGCAGTTCATTAAGTTGTCTTTTGTGTGTTCTTTTGATAACATTTGTCGATGTCCGCCTTGCAATACTTCATTGTTATTACCAGTACCAAAGAACGCAAGGCGGACATCGACAAATGTTATCAAAAGAACACACAAAAGACAACTTAATGAACTGCTGAACAACAAAAACACAATACTGATTCATCCAGACAAAGGATCAGGTATTGTTATTCTTAATCGTGATGACTATGTCAATAAATTATGTACCATCCTTAGTGATGAAGACCTTGTTGTAGCACTTCAGAATTATCTATGCTTGCTGATGAATTCACTATTTTCGCTGCCGCCTCTTTTGGTAACTCCCTGTCCATAGTGACAGGTGATTTTAATTCATGTGACTGCAGCTTTCTCACAGTGATAGGTCATGAAAATGTTGTTAACTTTCCCACCAGACTGGATAATTCCCTTGATCTTGTATTTATCAATGACTCCGGAATATACGAAGCTCGTAAAAGAGCTCCACTGTTTAACTCAGATCATTGTATTGTACGGGTTTTACCTAAAATTTATGGAAAATTACACAAGAGAACTTTTTCACACCTTTCCAAGAAAACTGTACATGGATGTTACTCTATGGAGAATGTTCAGAACCTCAGAAGCATGCTCAAAGATACAAGGTGGGACCTGTTTAAAGAAGACTCTCTTGATGACACAATCTCTAATATTACAAGTTATCTCAAATTTTGTCTTGACACCTGTTGTCCCAGAGAAACGCTCTTCATCAGATTTGACCGTTTCTCCTCTCCTCAACTTAAAAAGCTTCGCAGACAGAAAGAAAAATTATATAAAATGAAGGATAATGCTGGTTTGAAAAGAATTAACATCCTAATAAAGTCCGAAATGCACAGATTGAATTCAATTTACAACCAAAAGTTCATATCCTGTAAAAATGCGTCTAACATATGGAAACTTTTCAAAGAAATTACTGGTGGTAAGCAGATGAACAGTATTCCTTTTCCCCTTGATGTTTCCAAACTAAACAAGTCCTTCATACATTCTCCCACGAATGCCAAACTTTCTAGTGTTACAAGTATTAATGAAACCTGCTTCCCTGGATTTACTACAAATGACGTTCTAAAATGTCTCCAGTCTATGAACCCTTCTTGTAGCCTGGGTTCAGATGGTTTGCCTAGTGTTATTCTTAAAAATTGTGCAGATATCCTGTGTTATCCTCTCATGGACATATTTAATGATTCTTTTTCCAAAAATGTCGTGCCAGCCGCTTGGAAGGACATTAAAATTGTACCTATTCCTAAGTCGTCTACTGCGACATGTTTTAAATTCAGACCCATTGCTATTACTTCCCCTTTTCTAAAAGCTATGGAAAAGTTGCTCTTACTTAATCTTCAACCTTCACTTAAAGCCTTTAACGATCCCAAACAATTCGCCTACAAACATAGTAGAAGTACTTTGGACGCAGCTGCAGTCCTGTATCATAACATTGTCTCCAGCTTAGACAAGGGGGCTAAATTTGTTCGCTGCACCTTTCTAGATTATACATCTGCTTTCGACTCAGTACCTAGGGACATTTTACTAAACAAGCTTGCTGAAACTCAAACTGACTGTTGGGTTGTCAAATGGCTCCATTCTTATTTCTCAGAAAGAAAGCAATACACTGTATGTCAGGGAAAGTCGTCCACTTCATTGCTTACTGAGGCTGGTGTCCCTCAAGGCGCTGTCCTTTCTCCTTTTCTGTTTTCTTTCTTCTTGCATGACTTGCCTCACTCCGATGAAATGAACTTTGTTAAGTATGCCGATGATCTAACTATTTCAATGTCTGTTAACTCTCAACTTGACTGTATTAAGATTAACAACTTTCTATCAGAAATTAGCAAATGGTCTTCGTCTAACGGCCTTAAACTTAATCCTTCCAAATGTCAGACTGTTAATTTCAGTTTCCGATGTAAACGAAAGTTAAATGAAGCCGTTGGTTCCTATGACCCTTGCAAAATCGATGATACTGATATAGAAAGCAAGTCTGAAGTTAAGTATCTTGGATTAGTTCTCTCTTCTGACCTATCTTGGTCTTCTCATGTCTTAGCGATTTCTAAGAGAATATTTCGTTTGACTTTTTACATTAAAAAGTTAAGGCACTCGGGCATAACTCAACCACTCCTCTTACAGTTTATCAACTCGTGTATTTTACCTATTCTTCTTTACTGTTCACCATTATTCTTTCCTGGATTGCTAAAAAAGGACTATGTCATACTTCGTAGAACTCTGAAGACTGTCAGTAGGACGAGTGGTATCCCATTGGGCCATATCGTTGGCATTGTCACCGATAGGCATTTGATGTCATGCAACAGATTCGCTAGAGGAATTTTGTCAGACTCTGAGCACCCACTCTACCAGCAGCTCCAACCTTGTGTCTCCTCAGGTAAAACAAGAAGTCTTTTCAGAAGACTTTATGCACGTACGTCTAAGTATAAAAATTCCACTATACCATATTTAGCACGTACTTTATGTGATGAAAATAGTGTCAGAAATGAACTAACTAACCTTCTTAGCACCACTAAATAGACCATTTCCTTCAACCTTAAAGCATCATACTTTATTGTTATTGTATTTCTTATATTTATAATCCTCTCAATTTTTTCGTTTTGTTTATTTTATTTTTCATAAGTGTGGACATAATTTTAAGCTGTATTATGACTGTTAACTTTGTATTTCACCTCACTATACCATATCAACAGAACATTAGACCCAATTATCCATAACATGCTAAAGTTTCCAAACTGAATCGACAATACCGTTTGAAACAAACTCACTGTTATTAGTATTTATTATTATTATATCTAATAATTATGTCGTAAATGTGGACAAATTCCTCCAATTAATTTTTGTTTTAATTTTTAATTTTATATACACTTTGAGTAAATCAGATGCAATATTGTGACAAATGCTGAGAATTCCATTCTGTATTATAAGTACTGTTTTTGGAATAAAGTAAATTATTATTATTATTATTATTATTAGAAAAATGTCAAAAATCACCTGACCAAAATGACAAGACTATTGAGAATATTGAGAAGGAATTATCACAAACTCTGACGAAATTGAAGCAAGAATGAATGCATTATTACTCCATATATGTATGAACAGCTTAAACCATCTATCTGGTTCAACTATCTATCCCTCGTTTATTTGGTCTTCCAAAGGTGCACAAAGATGATGTCCCTCTGCGACCTGACCTGTATTGGATATGCTGAACTCGCCGTATCACTCTATCGCTAAATGGCTTGTGGAAATTCTGGAACCAGTTAGATTAAATCTATGTAAACATAGTCTTTCCGACACTTTTGACTTTGTCAGTTGAGTTGATGAAATTAATGTGGCCGGTAAGCATATGATTTCGTTAGATGTTTGTTCATTGTTCACAAATGTACCACTAGTAGACGACACTATCTGCTATCTATGCGAGTATATTGATTTAAATAGCATGAACATCGGCTTACCAACTGAATATCTGAAACAACTATTATTGAGATGCACACTGAATGTGCAATTTAGATTTAATGAAGTCATCTACAATCAAAGGGACGGAGTCGCCATGGGGTCTCCTTTAGGACTGCTCTTAGCCGATGTCTTCATGGCAAGCTTAGAGAACGGCCCACTAAAGGAAACCATCGAGAGTGTGTTTATGTATAAAAGATATATAGATGATACCTTCATTGTCTGTGAGGAAAACTCTTCAACTGCCGAACTTCTTGGAATATTCAATGGTTCTCACCCAACTTTGCTTTTCACCGTCGAAGAAGAGTCGAATTCCTCGTTTCAC